TGAGGGCCCGCGGGTGGGCTCTGGGGGGGGCTCTCGCCGTGACCTAGAGTCCTGCGGGGGATGAAGCAAGTTTTGAGGGGAAAGTCGGGACACGACAGCGCAGGGAAAGCCCCGCGGGTGCGGTGGAGAGGGCTGGGCACCTGCTGCCCTAACGTTCCCTCCCGCGGCTTCCTCCCGAACGGTTCTGCCCACCCGGGCCGGCTGTGCCATCCGCTCCGCTTTCCCAAGAAAGAGAAGGCGGCGGACTTGACATTGCTTGTGTTTGGGTGCTTCAGCTGGAGCCCGCCTGGCCGTCTTGTTCCCTTCTGCCTTCTTGATCACCACCACCGTAATGTTCCAACCCTATCGAGCCTCTGAGACCTATGGAAACGCAGAGACTGTTCCTCCCTGCTCTGCTTTGCACCCCTGGCATGCAGCAGGAAGGGGCCAGTGGTCAGATTAATCTCTGCCAGAGTTTGTCCTTGGTGTCTTTAGCCCTGTGAATGTGCCTTGCTTCTGAGTTTTGAATATCTTCACCTAAAGGAGGTAACAGTCTTTGTGGCATATGCGGTGCTTAAACCTAGGCATTTTTCTATAGGTGAAGTTCCTTTGCCAAGGTTTCTAAAAATCCCCCTTATGTGGGTATGTGTGCAAGCGTGCTCTGACCCTTCACAGTGCCAGAAAGCCCTGAACATACCAGAGCTGGAGGAGTTTCTTGGCTGTAGGCCTCTGTCTTCTCCTGTCCCAAACTGTCATCTCTTTGGATTTGGGCAGTGTTTTCCTACTTAAAGTGTCCATTAAATGGATTTGTATTTGTTAGCATAATTTGAATGGTTGTGTGCTGAAGGGTCTCTGAAGTCCCAGTCCATTACTGGTAGATGAGAGGGAATGGTTCCTGCTCTGCATGAATTTCCACTGCCACTGTTGGGCCTGGCTGTGCCTGCACAGTGCCCCTTAACTACTGCCAGTGCTGGGTCGCCATGCAGTAGTGGGAACAGGCGTATGGGTGCAGTCTGGTGTGTGCTGAAACTCAGGGGCAGGAGAGTTGTGTGAGCAAGGCAGGGAAGTCCCAGGGGTGCTCAGGAGCTCCTCCCTCTCAGCCGTGATGACTCTTCTTCCCGCTGTTGTGGCTTTCAGCAGAGGAATCTGCCTCTCAAAAAGGTGTAGATCGTCTGTCAAGCAGCATCAGATCAGATTTAGAAAAGACCTTTTCAATATCGACTTTGCTAAACAGTTGTCAGTCTCACAGACAGTTCTCTGCATGCCTTTTCCCATCACTCTCTCTCTCATCCTGAAGGAGCACTGAATTTTTAGGCTACCAGACCAGTATCTTCCAGCACTGCTTTGCTGCCGAGGAAGGGTGATTTTTGGACCCACTGCAAGCGAAGTTCTGGAATTTGGTTTGTGCTTAGTGGGGAGTTTGCTGGGTAAGAAGAGGAATGAAGGGGCAGTGGCTTCTTCTCATGGTTGTAATGACATTGGGAACATGGCTTGGTAATTTGAGGCGCTGGGACAAGAGAAGTATGAGATCGTGAGCAGAGCGCTTGGCCAGGAATTAATCTGACAGGCAGGAAGGTGCAAAACATGGCTGAGAGTTTGGATTTAAGTGTCTTAACCTTTTTGCAGGCAGCAGATACTTTGGCTGTACGACAGAAACGCCGGATCTACGATATCACGAATGTCCTGGAAGGCATTGGGTTGATCGAGAAGAAATCCAAGAACAGCATTCAGTGGAAGTGAGTGACAGAGAAGCTTTAAATCGTTTGCAGGGCCCTTCTAGTCCAGGTTCAAGTGACACTGGGGTTAAAATGCCCTTCTCAGAGCAAGGTTTCTCAGTGGTCTGTGCATACTTTTACTTCTACCAGCTGGGCTACGGTGATTAAGCTGAAGTATGTATGGCATTTCTGTTTACAGCAGAGCTGTTATTTTGGTACAATCTAAGTATTTGCAGTGTGTTGGGCTAGAAAAGGTGCCTGTCAGGGCACTGGAGATGGGAGAAAGCCCTGTGGGATGTAGGAAGATAGACCAAACACTGCTGTGCTGGAAGGTGGGGAGCTGGAGTGGACACAGATGAGGCTTTCCAGGTGATCTGGCTTTGAGCTATGACAGGCGTGGCAGTAAAGGAGTGGCAGCCTCTCTGAGAGGCTGAGGCTGGTCTGAGTGCCTTCAGAGGCTGATCCATGTCACTCCTTTTTACTTTGCCCAGAGGGGTGGGTCCTGGCTGCAACACACGTGAAATAGCTCACAAACTGATCGAGCTGAAGGCAGACATAGAGGACCTGGAGCAGCGGGAACAGGAGCTGGAGCAGCAGAAGATGTGGGTTCAGAAGAGCATCAAAAACGTTACAGAAGATGTGCAGAACAGTCGATATCCTTTGTGTGAACCGATTACTCTGCCTTTGTGTTTGCTTCCCGGGCTGGAAGGCAGAGTCTTGTGGGCTGGGTTGGTGCTCAGGGCAGAGGGGTGGTGGTGACCTGTGGCTGCTGGAGGATCTGCCCTGAAAGGGTCAAGGGGCAGGGTCCACCTTTGGAATTAGGGTAGCTCTGTCCAGCTTTCTCTGTGGTGCACGGCTTCTTGTGTGGCTTTTTGAAGTAAAAAGCACTGTAATGGTGAGAAAAGTGCTTCTCTCTGAGCCACAGGTGCCACTTTCTGGAGCACAGAGATGCTTGTGTGGGTTGCCTGCCTTAGGCTGTCAGCTCTGACGGGTACATAGCCTGCAGACCACTTCAGAGTGTGGAGAGCTGCTGGGAACGGCATTTCTTCTGCTGAAGAAGGAAACGCCAGGTGCCCTTTGGGTTCTTTGTATTCGCAGGAAGCTGCAGCCTTTGTCCTTAACCTTAGCAACATTAGCGTATGTGACGCATGAAGATATCTGCAAGTGCTTCACAGGTGAGGAAATGGTGCTCTGTTGTAAAGATGCTGCAGTCCTATCAGTCTGTCCAAGCTGCTCTCCTTCCTCCAGGAAAGAGGAAATAGCAGACCACGGGCTGCCCAACAGCATCAAGTTAAATGTAGTGCAAGCTCTGATTGCCATCCAGGGTTTGTGTACCACTGAGTTACAGCTTTTTTGTCACCATCAGCAGGGGCAGGCAGTTTTTTTTAAAGGAACATAGCTGCTATTTTTGCTGGGTGTCACTGTGTGGATGCACATGTTACTTTAGAAGCTTTTGAGGGCTTGGATAGGAAGCATTCTAATAGGAGGGAAATTTTATTGCGTGTTGGGTGTAAATCTAGGTGTAAGCAGGAAAACAGTATAAAAAGTGGCCCCTCAGCTGCATCATGCCCTCTACCAACAATTGGGATGCATTGGATGCAAGAGGAAGGTAGTGACGAGCAGGATAGAAGGGAATACACTGTTTGCTGTGTGCTCACTCCCTTGTGTACTGCCTTCCTAAAGCTGTGAGGTGCCTGTTTAAAAAGCCGTATGTTCTGTCTCTATGGGACAAAAGTTAAGAAAAGCCACGGGAGTTCCTGTTTCTTCTCTGTTGCCAGTTTTAATGATAGTTGTAGGACCAAAAAAACCAAACCAGGGTGGCCAGTGTGCGGCAGGGCAGCCTGCAGCCCACAAACTGTTCTTCTCAGCTGTAGCGGTGTGGAGTCTCAGCTCCTTTCTGCTTCGGTGGATGCCTGACCCCAGGCAGCCTGCACTGCTTGCCTGCGGCAGAGATTGAAGCTGCTGATCCTGACTGCCTCCAGCCATGCCTAATCTTGCCCTTGCCTGACTCCTCGTCTCTTCGAAGCGCTCTTCTCACCCTGCACTTCATCAGCTCTTCTGGTTTTCATCTTTGTGTGCTTTCCTTGATCACCAGACTTTATACTGCTTGAGTTCCTGCTGGTAACTTACTCATCACTACCACCTTTGCTTTACTATTTCTTCTGATTTAAGCTAGCACTTTTTGGGGGCAGGGATTATGTTTTCAGTTTGACAGTGCTTGGGGCCAGATAACTCATAACAGCCTGGAAGGGTTTACTGGAGACCAGCAGACAGCTCATTGCTTGGTTGATTGAGTGTTTTGCATTTTATCGCACCTGGTTGTTGTAAACCAGTTTGCATCTGCAGTCAGACCTCATCAAAATGTGCAGACAAGATTAGATCTTACTGAGAGCAGGTCTGAATTCCTCCCAGAACAGAGCCTTGGTCCATATTTTTCCATTTTCTGTTCAGTGTCTGCCCAGTTTTGCTGTATGAATATGCCTTACATGTATTTTTTCTCCCTCTCTGAAGCGTCTGAGCCTTGCAGAGGTTCTTTGTTGGACTTGTTGTGTTCTTGAGCTGTGCTGCAGGCTGAATTTCAGCTCCTGGCTTTTTTTTCTGATTGACTGCTATTGAATTTGCTTTCTAAGGTGAGTTAGGGCTTGAAGATTTCCATGCTTGGACTCTTGTCAAATACAGATTTGTTATTTTGATTAATAAAAAAAAACCTGAGAATATGTTAGCTTTTAGTGACTGGGAAACATAACTTTCCCATCTGTTGCTGTGGTGCATTTTGCAGAATCAAAAAGGAGGTGGAAACACTGTATGCTGGTTTGTAAAACTATTTGGGATGTAGCTATCAAAGGAGGTAGAAAAGCAGTGCCTGTATTGTTGAAGCTTACAGTTCTTAAAGCTCAAGCTTGTGTCTTCGAGCTTTATTGTGCATTTTTTATTACCTCTTAACAATCTTTCTTAAGTGCAGATTTGTTAAAGGAATTCCATCTTATTGACAAATCCTGCTCTGTGCTTGTTGCAACCTTTGGTTGCTTGCCTGAAATTAAAAGATGTGCTCTTCTGCTTTCCACTCCCTCTCACCTCTCTGGAGATCTTTTGTGTTAATTACCACATGAAACTTAGTGCAGAATACCGGTGAAGTGTGACTACTAACCACCCCAAAGTTTAAACAGTCAAACTGAAAGCTGCTAACTGCTGAATACGTCTAATGTTCACAGCACTGGTATCCTCTGTTCACATTTCTGTTGTTAAACGTAAACCCACACATTAACTGGAAGCTGCTCGCCCGTCACTGTTGTGTTATCAGAAGTGCAGGTCTTAAGGAGCTGCAGAACTTGGGAAGGGGAAGGTGCTGTCAACACGTCCTTGCCCCACGTGTGCTGGGCTGAGGTGTGTTGGTTTTGGGTATTGATACTCAGGCATGAGGCTGCTGTGCTGTTGGCAGCCTGGCTTCTCAGTCCAGTTTGACACCATCTCTCCACTGGCAGTGCAGCTTTTCGAGTTGTATGCTCTTACGTTTACAATGCAAATCTAAAAGCTTGTGACAACAGGATGAAAGATCCTTTTCCTTAGGATTCAGGTGTCCTTAAGAGGGAATTTAAGGCAGCTGTTCTGAGGGAAGGAAACGTTAGTCCTGTTGAGGCTACTGCTAAAAACTTCAGGGTCAGTTTGGGAGAAACTTTGCAGGTTCTTTGTGCCCTGGGCAGTTGGCACATTGGGAGCTGTAGGATATGCTTAGCAGCTCAGGTGGGTGTAAAAGGCAGCCCTCCACAGAAGGGAGTGCAGGAGTCTGGGGGCTTTGAGGAGGGGCTCTTCGTCAGTACTTAGTCATCATCAGAACAGTTTGTGTCTACTGAGTGCTGATCGGTCTGTTTTCACAGGAGACACCCTCCTTGCGATTCGAGCCCCATCAGGGACACGTTTGGAAGTTCCTATCCCTGAGGTGAGTGATAAATGCATGGGTAGAGAGTAGGGGTGTCTGTCTCTCTGTGTGTTGTGGAGGGGGTTGTTGTTGGATTGACCAGGCTGGAAGTTGGTGGTCAGGGGTTTGATGGAGTTGGAGGAATCAGCAACCCAAAGAATGCTCCAGCTATTTAATAGTTGCCAGGAAACTGTTGTTTGGAAACATGTGGGTAATTGCAGGAGCACCAGAGGAGAGGATAATCCTGGGAGTCTGGGGAGTTGTGTGTGGGAGCATGCTGAACTGTCTGGACAGCAAGCCTTCCTTCTGGGAAAGGGCATTTCATGTATAGTTGTGTTTTGGTTTTGACTGTTCTCAGGGCCTGAATGGGCAGAAGAAATACCAGATCCATCTGAAGAGCACAAGTGGTCCTATTGATGTTCTCTTAGTAAACAAAGATGCTTGGAGCTCTCCTCCTGTTGTACTCCCTGTGCCTCCCCCTGAAGACCTCATTCAGTGCCAGGCAGTTGCACCCTCAAAACCGCAGATACCACCACTCGCCCACTTCCAGGAGGCATCCGTTCCCAGCAGCACCCAGCCCTCCACGCCGACACCCACCAGCACTCAGGACCACAGCCCTCCTGTGCAGCAAGCCGCAAGCACAGGTGAGGGCGAGACTACAGAGGCAGAAATGGGATGGTGGCTGACAAAGGAGAGCTCATTCCTTGGGCTGGCACTGCTGGCTGTGTGGCATTGTCAGCTCTTGGCAAAGGGGGCACCTCTCCCTTTCCTTTTGTCTTGATTAGAGGGACTGGAAAGAAGGCACTTGGCTCAAAGGGGTAGTGCCAGGCTGTAGGAGCAGTGGTAGGGGAGAGTCTGATCACGCAGATTCATTGATTAGCAGAAGTTTGTAAAAGGATCTTCTCAAGCCTCAAGTTCAACTATAATTTTGAAAAAAGACTCAAAAATACTAGGATAGGTTGGTTGTGGCTTTGTCCAGCTAAATTTTGAAAGCCTCCAGAGGTGGAGATCCTCACCTTGCTTGATGAGCTCTTCCAGGGCTGCAGCACCCTCTCAGTGAATTTCTTTTTCTTATGTCTGCATCCTTTGAGCTGCATCTCATGCCCATTGTATACATTTCATCGTTTGGCACCACTGAGAAGTTCTTAATTTTTGTAACTGCCTTTCAGGTAGCTGCAAGCTGCTGTTACATTGCTCTTAGAGTTCTCTTTGCCTGACTGAACAAGCCCAGCTCCCTCCACTCCTTCTTTGCTGGCCATGTGCCCGAAATCCCTGGCTATCTTGATAGCTGTCAGCTGGATCTTCTCCATGCCTTTCTTGAACTGGAGGATGGCCAAAGCTGGACACAGTATTCCAAGTGCAACCTCAGCCCTGAGCAGGAGGATAGTAACTGCCCTCAGTGTGCTGGCCATGCTTCTCCTGATGTAGCTTACTACCTGGCTTGTGTTAATTGCTGTGTGAACATACTTGTGTGCAGCCTGGTACCACCAACACTGCTCTCCAGTGGAGCTGCAGCAGGACCTGAGAGTTGAAGGCAGGAAGCCTTCTTCCTCTGCAGCTACCTGTGCTTGGCCAGCATTACCAGTGAGGAAAGCTGTGCTGCAGCAGCTTGCTTTGGAGCTGATGGGAGATGACATTCTTGTCTGTGTCTGTGGCTCTTTCCAGAATGCAGTGTCTCAGCGGCAGAGTCCAAGAGCAGCGGTGACTTTGATCCCCTCAGCAATGTGTCCGGATCAGCCGGGTTAGATACCCAGCCGCTACAGTCCTCTGCCTCGCTGGACACCAGCTCCGTCCTACCCAGCCCCTCTACCTCCTTTGAGCCAATCAAGCCCGATCCCACAGGAAGTGAGTATGCACCCTTGTTTCATGTGTGGCTTCAAGAGTGTGCTGCTTGGAGTGAGGGAAAGGCTGCTGGGCCTGTAAGAAGGAGCTGAACTCAGTTCTGCCTTTGCTGTCAGCCAGACTCTGCTAGGGATGGGTAGGCATTTCCCTGTGAGGGTGCTGGGGAACTTGGTGAGAAGGTGACTGTGTTGTGTCTGGTGTCCTGAAGCTTTCTGTGACATCAGTACTAGAAAATCTGCTAGGGACACTCACATGACACATGTCTCTGCTTTTATATGTAGGATTATTCCCTTTTGATGCCTTTTGTAGTGCAAGGTCCCATTTCTGTGACTCTGTGAAGCTACAGAATTTCTGGTCCTCACTGAGAGCAGCTTTGTAACTTGTGGGGAGTTTTCCTTTTATTAGGAGAGCTCTAGTCTCTGTTTTCACCCTTTACTCAGAAATACCTCATCTATCTTTAGTGGTCTTGTGGTCTTAACAGTCTCTCAGTGTGTATGTGGGGAGCTTCCTGATGTGCTTGGTGAGGTGAAATGGGCTTTAAACAAGGAACATTTGAGCGTTATGCTAGGAAATGAGAGGCTGGACTAAGAACAGAAAAGCATCTTTCAAGTAAGATGCACTGCCTCAGTGTTTCGAAGCCTACTTTCACTGCAGGAACATTCCAGGTTAGAGAGTTGCAGTTAGAAGAGGAAATCTTGCTCAAATGTAGCTCATGCAGTGGTTTTTTTCATGCTTCTGCTGCTAGCATGTCTGAAAGAAGTGTGAACTGTCTGTCTCCATCTTGGAGGAGTCCTGATTATGGGATCAGGCCTTCAGTGTGCATTTAGCTTACTTATCTCAGTGGGCCTGTGCTGGCTCTCTATAGGCATGCCCTCATCCTGCACAACAGAAATGGAGGTGCTGTATGGAAACTGAAGCTGTGTGAGGCTTACTCTAGAGCTGCTGACTCTGATAACAGGTTCATGTCCCAGGGTTCCTACAGATTTATTTTAAAATAGTTGAGCTTAAGTATTTTATTGCTTAATGTTTCAGCAGAAATATGGGACATGAGGTGTGGGAGCAGAATTTCTGGGTGGCACGGGATGATTGGGGTGTGTAAGAACTTAGTAAGACAGCTGGTGATTACACTGTAAAGCATTTCAAAATTCGTGTAACGATGCAAACCGTTTGGTTCATTGTATTTGCAGTACTGGAACTTCCCAAAGAGTTGTCAGAGATGTTTGATCCAACGAGAGGTACGTTTACTCCCTGACCATGGCTTTGTTCTGTGTCCATCTACCCACAGAACTGGGACTGTGTTTTATTCACTCCCTTTTTGGATTATTTTGGGGATGTGGTTTTGTAAGGTGCTTGTGGTCATTGGTGGCTGCTGGCTCTCCACTTGTAGTTGGGCAATCTTAAAATTGCTGGTTTCTATGTGCATTTTTCTGTCTTCACATTGCCAGCAACCTCTGTTAGCTTGCCCTACAGTGTGCAGATGAGAGCTTTCCCTTCCCCATGCCAACGCTGATCTCTGTGCTGGCTTCCTAACCTCTTTCTCCAGCTTGTTTGCACACAAGAAAAATCCCTGTTAGTCTTGTTTCAGCCATAGCCTGCCCAAGGCTAATCCAAGGAAATAATCTATGGAGACAGTCTTCTCTCTTTGAAATATCCCTCAGTGGTTTTGGAGCAGTAATGGAGGGGATGGTTATTTGCCTCTGCCCAATAAATGTCTGGGTGTCGCTGCCAAGTGCTGGTACAGACTCTGGGCCTAAGGGCAGGAGAGATGAAGGAATTTGGTCTGACTTAAGCCTGAACTGGGAAACTCTTTATTTGCTCATTTATTTCCCTCCAATTCTGGCAGAGTACTTTCTAGCCCTGCAGCTAGGCAGAACCGAGCACACACAAGCTCTTCTGTGGTGGTGACAGGATATGTCCAACAACAGCCCCTAGTTCTGTGCTCTTCAGGCGCTTTGTGAAAGCGCTGTCTCTGTTTAAAACCCCTGCAGTGCTGAATGCACACGTGCGAGCCTCTGATCTGTGTGCTGAGCGCCCGCAGTCGGCCTGGAGAGCACCTTCCCTCCTTGCGCAGCACCTGCTGCTGTAGTGAGTGAGTGAGGTCTTGGTAGTGACTGAGTACATCTGAAGAGTCAATTTGACTTTGCAGTGTGAGACTTAAACTGCTGCAAGGCCCCAGCCCCTGTAGAAGATCTAGTTTAATCCAAACTAATTACTATGTGACTATGTGGGTGCTATTAAAAAGGAGGTGTTTGCTATCTGCAGTAATGTATGGGGCTTTTTAATGGAGTATTCTTCCCAGTTTGGAGGGGGAAGATAGAGATCTGGGAGTGAAGGACAAAACAGAATTGACAGCTACAGAGGCAAAGCCCAGGACTGAAAAAAGTAGCACTACAGAGTTCAGAGAAATGGGCCTTGCAGCGTGCACCATGCAGCCTCTTTCATCCCTGCGTGATCCCGGTAATGTTGCCCTGGCACTGACAGCTGCTTTAAGGCTGTGCCATTTAAGCTGCAAGAGCCTGGAGTTCTTCCTTAGTGTTTGTATTGGAATTGTTTTTTCTGCATCATTTTCTCTCTTTTAAATGGGGGCTATAACTAATAATGAATAACTAAAGTGGGGGCTAATGCCTGCTTGTTTTAAACTCATATCCCGGAAAAAAACTCTGAATTTCAGCACACACATATATACACCCTGCTGTATTACCAGCTCTGATCTAGGAATGCAAGTTTTACATGTAATTGCTATTTATTGGAGCTGGTATAAGTCCTGTCTAGTCATGTGGTGTTGAAATTCTCTCATCTCCTGGCACTGAACTAGACAGGTAGGTTCCTGTCCTCCAGGAAATAGCCTGCTGTGGATGAATGTATTGAAAATGGACTCATCTGAGTTTCTTTTGTGAGAGTTGATTCAAGTGTGGGTAGTATCTCATTGACCCAGTTCAAATTAGTTAGATACTCACTATCTTAACTTGGTAAAGTGAGAGAGGTATTCAGAAAATTGTTTTCAAGTGCTGAGTTTCTTAAAGAAGAGAGATTGACTTGCCTTGTACTTGATGTGCCTTGTCTGGCTGCTTGGTACTATATCCTTCAAGTGCCTGCTAGCCAAGAACAACGCTGGAAGGAGAAATGGTGTTTCAGAGAGAATTAATTTTTTGGCCTATTGAGGAAGAATATGCAGAGGCCAGATGTTCATTCTGTTTGGCAGCGGGCAGCCAGCGAATCTGCTAGGGCATACAGCTGGGTTAGCCATGACACGGCCATGGGGCAAGGGGAGCAAATCAGGAGCACAAAGGACACGAATCTGGAGGAAACTGGAGATATGTTGGTTCTGCTTCTGGAACAGCTCATTTGGTTTGTTTTTTTTCCACACTCCTGGCAAAGTTGGTGGGTAATTGAAGAGAGAAGGGACAACTTGACCAGAGAGGGGACAAGGGTGAGGGCCAGAAGAGGCTGGGAAGGGTGGGATACTGCATGGGAGCAGACCAGGAAAGCAGAGCGTGTCCCTTAACCATGCTTGTCTCTTCCCCAGAGTGTATGAACTCTGAGCTGCTGGAAGAGCTGATGTCATCTGAAGGTGAGTTTTTGAATCTCCCCCTCACGGTGTGGCCTCTTTGGTGGGGGGAAGACCATCGTGTGTGGCTTTACCCAGCTGACAGCCTTGCAACTGCAGGCTCGCCCTCATCTTTTCTGGGCACAGACTGTGTCCTCACTGTTCTGCCAGTCCCTGGGAGGGACCAGGAGAGCTGGTCTCTTTCATATTGCAAGGCTGAGTTGAAGCAACCTCAAAGCCTGTTACTCTGAGGAGGCCTTCTCCTGGCTCTGCAGCTCAGTGCCCATTGGCAGCTCTTGGCTCGATGTGGGAGTGCTGAGTTTTGTAACCAACCGTGTGTTTCTCTTTCCCCAGTGTTTGCTCCCCTGCTCCGCCTCTCCCCTCCACCTGGAGACCACGACTACATCTATAACCTGGATGAGAGTGAAGGCGTCTGTGACCTCTTTGACGTGCCTGTCCTCAACCTCTGACTTCTCAGAGCAGCTACGAGCCTCGCAAACACAGACTGTTTTGTAACTCTTTGGAAAGTGTCTATTTTTGGATTCCTTTTGTGCTAGAGCTCGATGAGTGAGCAATTCAGAGATGCTTTCATGTGGACATAGAACCAAGAGATGTGGACTTGCAGGCTGGGAGCTTTCCCGTAGCTTCTTCCTCTGTTGCACATACAAGGTGCACGTGCAGCTCGCCCCGCCGCTTCCCTCTCTTCAAGGGGTCTGTGTTTTGAGTGTTCCCAGTTCACCCGTAGAGTTTGCCCATGTGCCTCTCCGAGCTTCCTCAAATCTGCATGCCTTGGTTTTTCCTGCACTCCTAGAGGCACTTTGCACCTCCCAGGTACCAGCTGCTACAAGGAGCCCCTGATAGCGTGGTCAGTTCACAACCCTGAAGCTAGTTAGGTTTTTGTCAATGTGAGTGGTTCAGATTGGGGTGGTTATGTTTCTGAATGACAACGAGAAGGAGGGAGAGAAATGGCACCCAAGTGTCCATTTCTTCCAGTGACTCCAGACCAAGCTAGTATGTTTTACAAGAAAAAGCACTTTTTTTAGCCAGCTGTGCCTCCTAGTGGGACTTGGGAGTTGAGCATTCCTAGTAGGACCTAGGAGCTGAGTGTTTCCCCGCTTGTGCATCAGTGGGAATGCTGGTTCTGCATTCATCTGTCTGCTGATGTATTAGCCCAGGGCTCCAGCTCCTTGTACAGCAGCTGTGCTGTTTCTACAGGGCTAAAGAAGAGATGCCAGTATGTTTTGGGTTTTGGCAGTTGGGTTGGTGGTTTTCTTTAAAATGTGTTTTTGCCTGAGTGAAGAGGTGTTTGGAAGGATAAGACTGCTCCAGCTGGTGCCTGTGAGGTACTCCAGGTACATCAAAGCCTGCTCATATTTGCCAACAATTGTCTTCTCCAACCATTGCACTTGAGCCTTCAACTGTCCAAACCGCAACCAAGCAGTAACAATTCAGTAGTATTTTGCTGTGACAAAGTTACGTAGGTGTTGTCAAAATAGCGCTTCCCCCTGCTCTTTTTCTCTCTTAGCATCTGCTCAGGATCAGCCTTTCTGTATATTTGAATTTGTTCCTCTACTGTCCGCCCCCACGCTCCCAGTTCCTGATCCTGTGGGCAGGTCACTACCTAGTGCGATGCTTTCTCTGCATCATTTTTCCGCAGGATTTCCTTCATTGCTTTGTAACAGAAGCTCTGCTGTTGGGTTCGTTACAGTGATCAGGTGGTAGCAGTCATGGACCCTTGTGCATTTTGGAGTCAAATGCCCTGATGGACTTGTGTTGTATTTTGCAAGCCCCAACTTCAGTTTTTGGTCAGATCCTGTAGTTGAGTGTCTTCAGTTTTGCACATCTCCCTGCTGATGCGGTGGTAGCAGCTGTCCTGCCTTCCCTGCTCTGCAAACTGCCCAAGGGAGGGCCAGCCCAGGAGCACGGCTGGCCATTGCAGTGGTACCTTGCAGCCGTCCGCATAACCAGCTGATGTTTGACTTCTCTGCTCAGCTGTTCACCGCTTCTGAAGCACACGGCCAGCTGCAGCACCGGCTGGGATGTAAAGTCTTCAATTCTTGGAGCCTGTAGAGGTGAGAAGAGTACATGCTTTGGACCTGCGCCCCTGCGGTGTCTCCTTGGGCAATCCTGTTCTGTGTGGGACTCCTCCAGAAGAGCCCTTCCTCTCTGCAGCCTCAAAGCACCACGGCCTTTTTGGAAAAAGCGTGAAGAATTCGGGATGAACAACAGGACACTCTCTAGTTCGGCAGTGGGCAGCTGCTGCCGGAGAGACTGCCGTGGCGTGGGACCCCTCTGAGGGTGATTTCCCAGCTCGCGTGCAGCCAGTTCCCCCCCGAGCCTTCCCTCCCCTGCATGGGAGCCAACTGAACCCCCTCGGTCCTGTGCACACGTTAGCTGGGCTCTGTGGCTTTGGCGTAGCTCGAGCTCTCTGTGTCCTGCCTGGCCCTTGCCCTCCTTCCAAGTGTGTGTGTTTGCCACCAGTTAGACAACCTTTGGAAAAGGATACCTAGAGAAGAATTTACAGTTGCAAAAGAACTTTGATTCGTATATAAAGATTATTTTTATACTTTTTTTTTGGCAAGGAAAGAAAAATTGCCTGTAATATTTGTACAGTGTTCTCTGACATGAATAAACAAAAAACTTTCTGCAGTTTTCCACCCC